GTACCGGTCGAGCCACGGGCGCATCCTTAGCATGCTCATTGGCGTTCTCCGCTCTAGGAATGTCCTCCCTAGTGTATTTCCCGCCTTGCTTGCCCTTTTTCGTCCGACGCAGCGCAGAGTGGGCCCCTGCACAATGGGAGCACTCGTGCTTGAAAACAGAAAATCATCCAGATAGTGAGTAAGAGAAGACAGACCCTAAGCCCAAGAAACCACCCATTCAAGAAACAACGCAAACATTTCAAAATAGGAACAAGAAATAGCGCAACCCATTGGCAAACACATATCGAAGAAGAAGGAACCTTGAAATCGACAACCCAACAAGTGAAAACAGTCAGGGTGGACCGGGAGCAGCCAAAAGGCGGACTCGATGTCCGACTTGGCCAGCTGATCACCCATCCCCGCCCCCAACTCTAATGCCCGATCAAAGGAAGCGTATCGGACATGCGACGCCTCCTTATCAATGTCACCATTCACGACCCGCCCGACGGGTAGGACAGGTGATGAATGAGACGAAAAGACCCCGGGTCCTTTTTGGGCGCCAACCTCAGGGGAGAGGTAAATTGTAAAACGGCAACGAGTCGAACGGACCGGCCATCCTACCCAACCGAACTTCTTTCCTAAGCTTATCCTCTAAAATTGCTTCCTTACTTACAGCCGACCACAGATTGTCAGCCAACGACGGGGAATCCGAATGAACAAACCCCTCCAGCAAAACCTGCGCGTCCCTACGCTTGGGGTACCGGTCGAGCCACGGGCGCATCCTTAGCATGCTCATTGGCGTTCTCCGCTCTAGGAATGTCCTCCCTAGTGTATTTCCCGCCTTGCTTGCCCTTTTTGAAGCACCGCAGCGCAGAGTGGGCCCCTGCACAATGGGAGCACTCGTGCTTGAATCGACAGCATCCAAAGCAATTGCAGTGGCTCTCATTAAAGAGCCAACACACTTCCTTGCACTGCTCAGCCGGCGCACTAGACAGAGAGATGTCACAGACACGGGGGTGGCAGAGAGATGTCACAGACATGGGGGTGGCAGAGAGAAAGCATAGAGCTGATGGGGGCAGAGAGATATCACAGAGAGACTGGGGCAGAGAGATGTCACTGGCAGGTTGTTTAACCCCTTAAGGACACATGACGTGTGACATGTCATGATTCCCTTTTTTTCCAGAAGTTTGGTCCTTAAGGGGTTAAGGGCACATGGCAGCAGCATGCTTTTTGGAGGCACATATGACTCATTGGCATGATATGCAATTTTTTTGAATTTAATGCTCTTTGGCATTATATATAGGGTAATGCATTTACTGCTCATTGGCACGATATACAAGATTTATGCATTAAATGCATTAATAGCATTCCCTTGCCGGAAAATCCTTCAGAACTGCTTTTACTAAGCGCATGCCTGGTTGGGAAGATCTCCCTTACTGATTATTGATGTGTAAGTGTCAAGTGGCAGAGCAATTCCTCCCCGGGCTGCTCTCTAATCACTTCTCACATCGAAATGCTTAAAGGACCACTATAGTGCCAGGAAAACATATTCGTTTTCCTGGCACTATAGTGCCCTGAGGGTGCCCCCACCCTCAGGGTCCCCCTCCCGCCCGGCTCTGGAAAGGGGAAAGGGTTAAAAACTTACCTTTTTCCAGCGCTGGGCGGGGAGCTCTCTGCTTCCTCTCCTCCTCTTCTCCTCCTCCTGGACTGAATGCGCACGCGCGGCAAGAGCTGCGCGCGCATTCAGCCCGTCGCATAGGAAAGCATTTACAATGCTTTCCTATGGACGCTTGCGTGCTCTCACTGTGAAAATCACAGTGAGAAGCACGCAAGCGCCTCTAGTAGCTGTCAATGAGACAGCCACTAGAGGATTAGGGGGAAGGCTTAACCCATTCATAAACATAGCAGTTTCTCTGAAACTGCTATGTTTATGAAAAAATGGGTTAACCCTAGCTGGACCTGGCACCCAGACCACTTCAGCTTAATGAAGTGGTCTGGGTGCCTAGAGTGGTCCTTTAAGAACACAGCACTTTAATTATTTCTATTCAATCATCTTGTATGTCTATCAACACATCTATTTTGTTTGTGTACTTATGTCAATCGCTGATGTTAACAGGTGGGTTGGTAAAATTGCACTATGGGCCACTAAATTGTTTTGCCCCCCCAGCCCTTCTCTGCACCTATTTAATATTATTGTTAATTCCAATGATGGTCCAGGATATATAATTGATTATTCAGGGGTTTTCAACTATGCTCTTGCTTTGTATAAAAAAAAGCATTTGGTTGGTTGCCAATGTATGTTATTACTGCTGTGCAATTAGTGGCTTCAAAGCTGCATCACAATGGGCTGGGTTATATTGTTCTCCAAAAGTGACTTTGTTCTTCTGTGGGGCCAGCATGCTTATGTTCCTTAACACTTCATTATTTGTAAAAAGTATCACTATTACTAAAGTACTATTTGGTTGAATTCTGAGATAAAATAGGTAACGATAAGTCCAGTTTATTGATGGAGTAAAGCTGTTGGAACATTTTTGGTCAAATACAAATAATGCCAACCTGTTCAGTGGCCCCCTCCATAATATTTCAAATTTGTAAGACAAATCTTCTAAAATACTGGATTATAGAATTTTAAAATAAATCAAATAACAAAGTGGGGATTGGGCCTGACCGCTGAGTGGACACTAGTTAACACAGCTCCTGCTCTGCAAGGCAAGTTATACCTAGGCACACATGCCGATACCGAACAAGTGGACCCAATTGTGGGATTTGCGCCGAGGACGCTGAGTGGCCTACAAGTATGGTAGGCGTGGGAGAGACGGACCTTCCAACACCCCTAAGGCTGGAAACCCGAGTATGGGCCCACGTTCCATCCACTATGGACTGGTGGGATTATCCCATTCCCAGGAGAATGTCCTTATGCTCCACGGCAGCAATGCCAACAGAGACTCCCCACCTCTAACATGGTGGCGATCACAAAAGGGCTTCCTGGGGCAGCACAGCCATGTTCCACTCTCCAACGCCTGGATGATATTTTTGCAGTCTTCGGGCTTCACATAATGGAGATAGGGTTGGGCCAACCTCTGCTCCCCCAGCATTCCATACCTATTGATGAGCATGTGGGAGCCCATAGTGTTGTTCAGGCGACTGACGGTCCAGAAGTTCGTTGGAGGCTGAAGATCTCACTGTCATACCAAGCGCTCCTGCACCTGGACCGCAGGTGAACATACCTGATCCTTACTGGCCATTCTATAATCATGACGGTGATGCAGTGTTGAAGCGGCCCAGAGGACTGCAGTGGGAACACATGCTGCCTTCATCACTGGGATATGTCTTGGTCCTGGTAACAATGGACTTTCGCATGCTGTTTCAGCAGCTCAGCAGAGGGGGCATCAGCTGATTCCAGGGGGGTTATCATGCTTTGTCTCTTATGGGTACTGGGGATGACTCCTGTCCTCTCACTTTCACTATCCGCAAGTTGTATCAGCATGTTCCTTAATCCATACTTTTCCCAATCAGTATGTGTAGATGGATTTATATGTAGCATGTAAGTCTAGCGAGTTTCAGGGCAGATTATCAATAACCCTCTTGTTTCTCATGTCTTTCATGCCTACAACTTAGAGATGCCAGTTTAATTTGTTTTTCCTTTCTTTTTTTGTTTTAAAATATAAAACTGTGCAGTTTATCTTGTCATTTAATGCTCTCGTTACTAACTTGATATGTTCTAAATTGAATGTTATTGTCATTCTTTGTGTGTACCACTGCACTTCAAAAATAAAGAATGACAAAAAATAAATAAAGTGAGGATTTGAATGCAATACTAACACCTGGTCCAACATGACTGATCATTAGTAAATGAGCTTGATGTATATCTGCTTAGTTGCTCTAAAAGAAAACAGATCACTGGGAATAAAAGGTGAATGAGGAAAAAAAGGATATTACACAAAATGCCCACTAGAGGCACTCTCACACAAAGCTTTTTTTTATTGTTTTTTAATCAGAAGGAATACCAAAAAAATAAATGAACAACCATAAACACTACATTTAAAATTTTTCACACATACACTTATCAGAATGGGAAATACAAAAAGGTAATATATTATATTATAGATTATATTATGGTGATATTAGGATATCACACACAATTCCAGACAAATGTTGCTGCAGGTTTATCATTTAAATATATTTCTAACACAAGTAATTATGGGAATGACAGCATTTGACAGTGTGTTCATTTACAAAATTCACAAAAATGGATATATAATTGACATCCAGCACTGCATCATTTACCTATGAAAATATGTCTGAAAAAATATACCCTTGTTCTATGAGATACAGATGCCTAGTTATCTCCAGGTCACTATATTAACTGTATGATCATGTGATCATTACATATTTGTTCTACATTCCCCAAAGATTCCATCACATTCCACCACAAGAGTATTTGACAATTTTTATGTATATATTTGATATCCACCTACTGTGGATTTGATATTTGTTCTTATTTGTTCTTGTAATTATTCCGACACTGAGTAGTATTGAAAGACTAACGGTTTCTTCTAGTGTTTCAACAAAATACTTAGTCTTTCAGTACTTCGCATAATCAGTAAAAAAAAAATATTTTTACGGTTTATTGCAGAAATATTTTTAAGGTTAGGCCAGAGCTGTCAAAGTTTTGGCCCTGTAGAATCTCTCATACTTTTTATCACCTGAATCAATACATGAGTAGTAAACACTTTATACAGACATACTTTTAATATTTTAGGAATGCCTCAATAGCAATCTGTACAAAAAATTGAATTTTTGTGGATTTTATGAGAACAGCACTCTCCTAAGACCAATTTTAACAATATCACTGTTTATTAAATATTCCTAATATGGATATGAGGTTATTTCGTTTTGCCTGTCAGTGTTCGTTAAATATTTATGATACATTATGCTCATATTTGTATTCTAGTTCTTTCTGCCTTCAAATGTCTTATATTTCATTAAATGTAAAAAATATTTTATTTTATTTTATAAAGCTGCATTCGATGTTAGTAACATAGCAAATCATATTTTTTTCTTTTTCATTCTTCATTTTTAAAACTCTCACAGACGTTACAGACCAAACCACCACCAAAATACATAACTATCACTTTATCATTAGCCTAGCCTCCTGGGCAGATGATGTCAATTGTATTTTCATTAACGTGTACTAAAACATGTTCAATTATTTTGAACTAAGAAAGGATGTGAATAGTACCGGCTGGTACATGTAAATATTAAAAATATAGCATTTTAACATTTTGTCTCCTAAGTTCCTCTTCTTTAGATTTGCCAAGAACTACAATCTTACAAAACGTAGATCCCAGAGAGACAAATTGACAATACATAGTTTTGGTCTTGTATTCTATGTACCAATATTATTATATATAATAATTCTTATATGTTGTTACCTCCTGAAACGTGTGATAAGAGACCAGCAACGTTTACAGTTACATTCGTCAATGTAGGCCGGCAAGAATAAGGAAAAAAGGACAATTGGCGTTGGTTAATTTTAACTGAAGAATGTCAGCCATGGTTTTTGTACAAAAAGCATGGGCACATAAAATGAGTTAAACCCAAATAAACCTGTTCTACTTTTATTTGATTTTTTCGTATCTATTGATATTTGCTTGTATTTATTTCCTGCATGACTTCCTACTAATGTTCCAAAGTACAACCTTTTTAATGCTTTTTCAGTTGCTGTATAATTAGACTATATGTTTGGGCCTGCCCCATTTCTGCAAATTGCTAACCTGTACCTGCATGTTTGACTGCACATACCACGTCCCAAAGGGCAGCCATGATAGTGTCACTTATCACAATGAACTATGTATTCGTTATTGCTGTTTGACTTGTAACGCTGGCTCCGTTATCATGTTGTTGGCAGAATATTTCAAACCAAATCACTGTCAAAATGTAAATAATATTTTCTGCCAAAAGGACGCATTGACCTAGATAATACACACATGCCTATTTACAATATATTGCATAGCGTGGAGAATCAAATAACTAATTTAAAATTATAAATATTCTATCATTAAAACAAAAGTCTGAGTAATTAACAGAAGAGCATGACGTTTGTGTGGACAGTGTCATTATAAAGTTTGCAAAATAATTTTCAAATATATATATATATATACATATATATATTATCCATTCTTTTAGACCTATATATTAATTGTGTTTCCTTCTTTTATTATCTGTTTGATATATTTTTAATTTGAAATATTCAATAGACACACTAAATGTCTTTATTTTTTTAACGGATACGCTGCCATACAACAGTTAGGACAAATCTTGAAAATTTCCATTTTCGTATTGGTAGGAAGTCTGTTCATCGAAGTCCTGTGTCGTTCCTTTTTGCTTCCTCCAGCCTTTCTTTCGTACCTCGGTGTTCTGAATAGTAGCGCCATAGCTTGTCTTTTTATTTGAGCTAGTGAAGGATTCGTTATTTAATTCAGTTTCTTCTGCAAGTTCATCATTTTCAATGATTCCACATTTATCTTCACTAAGATTCTCTGGATCAGCCCAGTCCTGCTTTTCTCCCGAGGCAAAAATGCCATAAAATATAACTCCGCTGTAATGGACTATGGCAGCAATCAGAAACACATTTTGCCATTCTTCACGAGACTAGAATGAATCAATGGTATATAAATTACAATGGGAAGATCGCGTGCAACTAGACATTTTTTCAAGAGCAATAATTTAAATTATGTTTTAAAAACAGCCTATTGATGTTTAACTCTGTCAAGTGAGATATGGAGTTTTTTGTAAACAAAAATGTCATTCAGTAAACTGTTCATCTGTTGATTGCGGTCAGAATTCTACAATTTTCACTGGATTTTGTTAATCTGGACAAAAATCCAGTGAAAATTACCAAACTACAAACATAATGGCGATTCTCATATTTACTAAAGCCAAATGCAGTCGGAATTCTGTCTCCCAAAGCCGATCTGCAGAAATTGCCGAATGCATATGGTGTTCGGATTAAAATTTGTGCTTTGCCATCTGAATCCTATGTAAAGTATAGGTTTAGACAGGGCTGCTCAACAGGTAGATCCCCAGATGTTGTAGAACTACAACTCCCATGATACTTTACATGCCTTTGGAATTCTGTTAGAATGACAAAGCATCATGGGAGTTGTAGTTCTACAACATCTGGGGATCTAACTGTTGGGCAGCCCTGGTTTAGAAGATCACAAAGCATCAATTTGAAACTGAATAGGGACAGAATGTATCTAGCAGGATGCGCATTCGCAAATTGATGTTCACTTGCTTTTATGCAAGCGAAAGATAATTTTAAGTACTATATGCCTGCTGGGTTAATAAGACCCCTATATGACAATATAATATAATATGACAATCACAGTGCTCTGACAGCCAAGTCTCCAGACTTTAACTCATTTGGGCCTGATTTCAGGGGTTTGGTGGCATTTTATACGGCTGAAATCTGTACCAAATTCAGACCAGCTTGGCGCCTATGATATGGGACCCATGATGTGAAAAATGCAATTTATAAATATTGCATTTTATACCATCCAGTGCCATTTGGTCCATTCTATTCTACTATTTACATGAATGCAAAAAATACCAGTAAATTATAATTTTTGTGTTTTGTCTCTTTCTGTTCTCATCTCACTATTGCTTACCCTCGTCCATATGATGGCAACAAATCCCTTTCTTCTCCCGTTTACAGGCAATTTTTTTCTTACTTTTTTTAATTGAATACATACACTGCCTATATTACTAGTTAAGTAACATGTACTCCATGTATAACTCTCTTGTGCATTACTTTACCACTTCCTTGGCAATGTGGCTTACTAAAAAGATGGATTGATAGATATGGATCTTTTACCTTGTGCCTCGTCATTGCCCCAACAATGAGTGGGCATACCATTCCGGATAAGGTACCAACACCATTAGATATTCCCATGAGAATACTGGCATACCGTGGTGCAATGTCTAGATGATTGACATTGAAACCTACAAGACAAGATATATTTTTAATGAATCATGTTATTGATAAAAAAAAATTTTTCCATGTTTTTTATTTTTTCTTCACTCTCGCTGTTTACCTATTTTTTTTACTACTCTATTTGCTTATATTGCTCATTTTTCTTTGATTTACTTTCTTTGCTTACTCTTTCCCTTCACCTTTCTTAGCTTTCTCTTGATATTTGTTCTCAACTCTTTAATTTGTATCGGTGTTGTTTGTATCCTAGCATTGAGTTAAAGTCTTTTTGTGGTTATTCATTATTAATATAGTTTGTTTTGTTTTTCTTTTTGTGTTTGTAAGTTTATACTTTAATCTGGCTAGTGTTTTTTTGGTGTATGCCTCTTAGTTTTGATCTAAAAAACAAAAAAACTTTCTTTTGCGAGAGAGGGGATATAATTCTCTTCTATGTGAGGGTCTTATTGTTTATGATTAGCTGTAGTTTACCTTTTGGGATAACTTTTTAAGTATTTCTGCTTTATATAACTGAAAACTGTGCACCTGTTTAATTGGATGTGTTACCCTTTCCTTTTACTCAAGAAAAAATGAAATTAGAAAAAAAGCAAAACTGTTCACTAATGTCCAAAAACACCATCACACTACTTACCATCACTTTATTGTCACAGAGCCAAAATTTGAATATTTATAATAATATATACGGTTATTTTCTCCATCATATCTAAAACTAGATAATTATGGTTTTTTTTTCTTGTATATAAAACAATTTAATGATAATATAGCTATTCTTCTATACTTGGATTGGTGGTTGCATTTTGCCTTTCAAATGAAGCCATTACAAAATGTTTACACTCATTATCCATCCTGGCAGAATCCAACCCTTTTGACGCATACATTTTTATGCCGTGAAGCTTGGTTACACATTGATGTATACCCAACATTCTACACATCTAGGAAATATGGATACTAGATACAAGGGCAGAGGCACCTGGGTCCTAAAGAGAGTCACTTGGTGGTCAGGAGTCACTAACACTCACAGAAATAGAAGACAAGGTTCATACATTATATTCTGATTTTATTTTGGTTGCCAATGTCAGGTTCTAACCAGTGTCCAAAGAAAATGTTACCAACATACCAAGCGCATGCATCCCCAATGTTATTTCTTGCAGAGGTTACATAGTTACATAGCTGAAAAGAGACTTGCGTCCATCAAGTTCAGCCTTCCTCACAAATGTTTTTGCTGGTGATCCAAAAGAAGGCAGAAAACCCAGTCTGAAGCACTTTCAAATTTGCAACAAACTAGGAAAAAATTCCTTCTTGACCCCAAAATAGCAGTCAGATATCTCCTTGGATCAAGCATCTATAACCCCACTAATTAGAAATTATATCCCTGTATGTTATGTTTTTGCAAGTATTTATCCAATTGCAGTTTGAACATCTGTATGGACTCTGATAAAACCACCTCTTCAGGCAGAGAATTCCACATCCTTATAGTTCTTACTGTAAAAAAAACATTTTTTTGCCCTAGATTAAACCTCCTATGGATGGATTTATATAAGCTGCCACCATGTATACCAACAGTATGTAAATCTGTAAAAATGACTTGGTAGTTATGTAGTTACAAGGGGTGAAACATAGCAAACTCGCTTCCCCGTAAAATAAATAGAATTAAAATTATAAATAAATAATAACTAGAAACACAAAATTAATAAATATGAATAGTTATACAATTATATTTTCTTTACATAAATTCAATTGATTGTTCTAAACTAACAATCTATTTGGAATTAAGAACAATATCACAATTTTAACTTGTTTCTGACCATATCTCATTGTTTATTCAGAAGCAAATCCTAATTGTATCATGTATTACTCTCTTAGTAATTTAATTGTTGTGATTCATGTAGATGCCAAATTATATAAATCCATATTTTGACATTTCTGCTCTTGGATGTTCTCCATGGGGTGAAGTTCAGAATTCTTATCTATCCAAGCCTTTGAGAACAAATTTCAGTTGAGCTGCCATTAAATTTTAACCTCTTTAAGACCAGTAACAGTCAGACAGCATGAAATGTCCTTATTTACCTTCAGCATCACTGTAAAACCTTGATAATGGTGAGTAGGATGTTGCACGTGGGAGTCTAAACTCTAGATTGTTATGGTGACATATATTGGGATTAACAAACCGTAACCAGAGTACAAAGTAGCTACTGGCTTGTTCTAAGAAATTGTTTAGAGGAGAATGTGAGAGGATAAATCATAAACTGAGTTTATCACTATATTTTAACAGAATGGATCATTTGAACTATAGGGCAATACCTTATGCTAATTACTTTTCTGCGTGTAGTGTGATTGGTGCAGACCCAACAATGGAGTCAGGAGTACTATGTATGTAGCATTATATACCCCAGTACCCCCATCCATGACATGAATAGTATAAAAAATGTGGGCATGCTAAGAGACACATACACACTATTTCCTGTGACTCTAGCATGTGCTATGATTATGAATGTCTTAAACTCTGTATTAACTTACCCTGGCTACAGCCACTTCCAAAATCCTTGAAGGACATGATACATAGCGCAGGCTCCCAGGAAATGGCCCTGTGTGCCATTCCACTCCTAACGAGCAATGCGCCCTTACACAATAGCTAACAAAAGGGTTAGGTTTTGAGAGTAAATCCTGGGAGCTAAGCAAGACATTCATGCTCTCTGCTCACATGGGCTCTTACAGGTATTTCATAGATACAATGGTGCCAGTTGAATACTACTAACCTGCCTAGGGGTTGGTTAGTTGGATTGATTGGCCGTATCGTGTGATTGTGCTATTGCCTAAAGGACAGTGTAGCAGACCATGGGTAACCCAACTGGTTACCTCCACTAATACCTTCACTGAGCCACTCTGGAACCATCAACAGAATGGGAAAAAGGGTCAAAAACACAAACTAAGGGAAAAATAGACGAATAGGTGGTCAGTTCTCCCACAGACAGCATTTTGTGGACACAGTATTTATGTGCAAAATATATCATTAACACAATCCTTTATACAGTATCTCACAAAAGTGAGTACACCCCTCACATTTTTGCAAATATTTTATTATATCTTTTCATGTGACAACACAGAAGAAATGACACTCTGCTACAATGTAAAGTAGTAAGTGTACAGCCTGTGTAATAGTGTAAATTTGCTGTCCCCTCAAAATAACTCAACACACAGCCATTAACGTCAAAACCGTTGGCAACAAAAGTGAGTATACCCCTAAGTGGAAGTATCCAAATTGGGCCCAATTAGCCATTTTCCCTCTCTGGTGTCATATGACTCGTTAGTGTTACAAGGTCTTATGTGTGAATGGGGAGCAGGTGTGTTAAATTTGGTTCTATCACTCTCACACTCTCTTATACTGGTCACTGGAAGTTCAACATGGCACCTCATGGCAAAGAACTCTCTGAGGATCTAAAAAAAGAATTGTTGCTCTACATAAAGATAGCCTAGGCTATAAGAAGATTGCCAAGACCCTGAAACTGAGCTGCAGCATGTTGGGCAAGACCATACAGTGGTTTCACAGGACAGGTTTCACTCAGAACAGGCCTCGCCATGGTCGACCAAAGAAGTTGAGTGCACATGCTTAGCATCATAATCAGAGGTTGTCTTTGGGAAACAGACATATGAGTGCTGTCAACATTGTTGCAGAGGTTGAAAGAGTGGGGGGCCAGTCTGTCAGTGCTCAGACCATACTCCACATCAAATTGGTCTGCATGGCTGTCGTCCTAGAAGGAAACCTCTTCTAAAGATGATGCACAAGAAAGCCCGCAAAGAGTTTGCTGAAGACAAGCAGACTAACGACATAAATTACTGGAACCATGTCCTGTGGTCTGATGAGACCAAGATAAACTCATTTGGTTCAGATGGAGTCAAGCATATGTGGCGGCAACCAGGTGAAGAATACAAAGACAAGGGTGTCTTGCCTACAGTAAAGCATGGTGGTGGGAGTGTCATGGTCTGGGCCTGCATGAGTGCAGCCGACACTGGGAAGCTACAGTTCATAGAGGGAACCATGAATGGCAACATGTACTGTAACATACTGAAGCAGAGCATGATCCCCTCCCTTTGGCGACTGGGCCGCAGGGCAGTATTCCAACATGATAACGACCCAAACACACCTCCAAGAGGACCACTGCATTGCTAAAGAAGCCGAAGGTAAAGGTGACGGACTGGCCAAGCATGTCTCCAGACCTAAACCCTATTGAGCATCTGTGGGGCATCATCAAATGGAAGGTGGGGGAGCGCAAGGTCTCTAACATCCACCAGCTCCATGATATCATCATGGAGGAGTGGAAGAGGACTCCAGTGGCAACCTGTGAAGCTCTGGTGAACTCCATGCCCATGAGGGTTAAGGCAGTGCTGGAAAATAATTGTGGCCACACAAAATATTGACACTCTGGGCCCAATTTGGGGTGTACTCATTTTTGTTGCCAACGGTTTAGACATTAATGGCTGTGCGTTGAGTTATTTTCAGGGACAGCAAATTTACACTGTTATACAGGCTGAACACTTACTACTTTACATTGAAGCAGAGTGTCATTTCTTCAGTGTTGTCAGTTCTTCAGTGTTGTCCCATGAAAAGAAATAATAAAATATTTACAAAAATGTCCTTTTGTGAGATACATGTATATACCCTCATGGAACAATGTGCTCTGTCTGGTACACTGCTTGGGGTGTAATATCATGTCTTACTGTATAGGCAAACACAATCAGCAGCAGACAGAATCCAGAAGACGCAATTAGACATGTTTGCACTGGAAAACTCTAAGAATATACACATGTACAAAAGAAGATTCTATCTGAGTCTAATACTTATTAAAGTATACTAGTTATAATTATGTTTAGATCCTCTGCTTCAATATGGCTACTAGTGAAAACAGCTACAGACTTGATTGAGCAGAGAATGTATTATGACTATAGTACATTAAAGGCCATAAACAAGAAATGACAGAGAAGTGTAAACCTACAGCCTAGTGTACTGCCCTCTCTCGCTTTACATCTCAATAAACACAAGTAGGATGCAAGAAAAGTAAGAGAAAAAAATGTATGTGAATATATTGTGCAAGTAAATTGGGAGGCAAATAGCACGACGCGTGTTTCGGTTCTACAGTTGTAGAACCTACGACTTTTTAACCCCTTAAGGACCAAACTTCTGAAATAAAAGGGAATCATGACATGTCACACATGTCATGTGTCCTTAAGGGGTTAAATGGGTTTCAGTGCTGCTTCAACCTTGCCTGTTACAAGACTCATAGCAGCGTGCTCTCTGTGCGGTGAGAACCTACTCTGTGTTTTGCTTCTCTGTAATAAGACATTGAACGAGTGCAAGCATATACCCCACATATGTTACCAGAATTCTCAGGGGTCTGTGGTCAGCCAGTAACAAAGAAAAAGGGGAAAACAGGATGAAGAACAAAAGACAAAAATGCAAATAGTAATTTTTTAAAAATATATATATTATTGATCTGTAAATAAACACATGCCTCCCCACTTAATCAAAGGTTTTTAGACTTTGTCCACACAAACAGCAGCTTTTAAGAAAACACAAGGGATGCTACTGTAGTACTCATTTTCTGTGAAGATTAGCACATGGTTAGTTAGTATTTATTTCATTAATAGTTCCCTAACAGCTGATTCTTGGAACTCAGAATGTTCACTGCCCATGAATAACAGAACTCCCCAGCAATACCACTCACTGTGTGTGTTTACACTGTAGCAAATTAAGTATGTGTTTAATAAAAATAATTTAAAGAGAATTATATATTATAATACTGGTATCATTCTAACTGATTTACCCAAAAGCATTAGGATATGGTTAGGTCGTCTAGAAAGACTTCTTCATTCCCAGTGCAGTTGCCATGCTTCTAAATGCAACCAGGGCCGGTGCAAGGAATTTTGCCGCCCTAGGCAAAAAAATATTTTTCTGCCCCATTCGCTCCATAGGGGTTCTGTATGTTTAACCCCATAAGATAAAAACATTGCCTTACCTTGAAGGGTTAAACACGCCTCTAGTAGCTGACACACTGAAAGCCACTAGAAACACCTCCACTATAATGCCTTGTTTAACTACGAGAAGCATTGAACGTGCATCGTGCTTGCCACTGATGCGCATCAGGTGTCCAATGCTCCTGTATGAGGAACAATGGATTGGACCAGCGTTGCCCCATCAGTGACATTGAGCGAGCTATGGAGGCAATCAGTGCGGGGGGCTTAAATTTATGTAGGGACAGAGATACTATAGTGTTCGGAATACAGGTTTATATTCCTAACACTATAGTTGCAAATGCAATAACTGATACATACATACACACACTTACGCACACACACACTCATTCGATCATTCACACTCAATGGTCCACACAATCATAATCATTTACCAATGCACACACAATGCTGTGACCCAAGCAGACACACACACACACTGGCCCAAGCAGACACACACACACTGACTGATGCAGTCTGATACACACACACTGACTAACACATACACACACACACACACACACTGGCCCGAGCAGACACACACACACACTGATCCAATCGGACATACACACACATTGATCCAATCAGAAATACACACACACGGATCCAAGCACACACACACTGATCCAATCAGACATACACACACTGATCCAATCAGACATACACACACTGATCCAATCAAACATACACACACTAATCCAAACAGACATAAACACACACTGATCCAATCAGACATACACACACACTGATCCAATCAGACATACACACACACTGATCCAATCAGACATACACACATACTGATCCAAACAGACATGCATACACATTGTTTAAATCACACACACACACACTATTAAGTCCCCCTCTTGCCTTCATTTGCCGTTAGCACTCCGTGGGTCACAGGATTGAAGACAGCGACTGGCTTCCTTTACTCCCTCTCAGCTCCGCCACTCACTATCCTCCCGCCCACTTGACCCTGAGTTCCGGGGAAGGGGCAGGAGCGATCACAAGATGCGCCCGTGCGCTGCCAGCAAATGAGAGGTGTGTAGGGGGGGAGGCAGCTCTCTGATCTTTGCGGGCTGAGGTTGGTGGCACTAGGCGCTTGTCGGCAACTATGTAAGTCCACCCTAGCGCCTGGTGCCATGTCCAGCGGCACACATTTTGACCTGGTGCCTCTCTTAAAGGACCACTATAGGCACCCAGACCACTTCAGCTTAATGAAGTGGTCTGGCTGCCAGGTCCAGCTAGGATTAACCCTTTTTTCTATAAACATAGCAGTTTCAGAGAAACTGCTATGTTTATAATAGGGTTAATCCAGCCTCTAGTGGCGGTCTCATTGACAGCCACTAGAGGCGCTTGCATGCTTCTCACTGTGATTTTCACAGTGAGAAGACGCCAGCGTCCATAGGAAAGCATTGTGAATGCTTTCCTATGAGACTGGCTGAATGCGCGCGCGGCTCTTGCCGCATTCAGCTGATGAGGAGGAGAGGAAGCGGAGAGGAGGAGGAGAGCTCCCCACCTGGTGGAGAAAGAGGTAAGTTTAACCCCTTCCTCACCCTAGAGCCCGGCGGCAGGGGGGCCCTGAGTGGTCACTATAGTGGTCCTTTAACAAGCGTCCTTAATAGGCCTATAGGACGCGCCAGCCATACTACCTCAAATGAATGGGACCCTATTTTGTCTAAATGAAATGTTGGGGGGCAAGAGATCACCTGGTCATACTACTGCACATGTACACAGTGACGTACTGAGCCGGGGGCTGTGAGCACGGAGAGAGGGGACAGAGAAGGGCACAGGAGGGGAGGGGGCTAATAATGGCACAGGAGGAGAGAAGGGAAACCAAGGACACAGTAAGGGAGGGGGGCAAAAGAAGGGCACTAAAGAGGGGGGGAGACACACAGATTGGCACAGAGATACACGCAGATGGTTGGAGGGGGGCCAAAGTGTTAGATAGACCCCTCTCCAGGGCCCATTAGACTCCATTGTAGTCTCCAAAGGGAGCTTGGGTGGACTCTTTCTAACAAACAAATTTGTGCAATAAATATTCTTGAAAACATTTTTTTTTTAAATCTATTTTTTTACATTTTAAAGTTTGGTGGGTGGAGGGAGGGTTTTGGGGGAGGTCGAAACACAGGATCCTCCCGGGTGTCAAATGTGCTAGGTACGCACCTGCATGTAAACATGTCTGTTCACAAACTAACAGATCTGTTCAAATACATTACTCAACTCTCGCATTGCAAACCCAGTGGCATTAAATATACTGTTGCCATCTAGTGGTGGTTTGTGGGAATTAAAACTGTGTATTATTTTCCTTTTTTTTTTTTTAAAGTTAATTAAGAGAGAAACCCTGGACAAGACTAGAAAATAGAAAGACGTGGATGTTGTTTCCAGTATATGATTTCTTAGACCTGGATATTAATTACATTGATTTTTTTTTGGTGTGGATTTCAAAGTAAATTTTAAACTAAAACAGCTAAGCTGAAAACGTAGCTGTCTTTCATTTATTTTTGGCTGACAATCTAACATAGAATGGTTCTAGTTTTCAATTTATTTGTGAATTCATAGTTTATTGTATAGCCCTGATTATGTTCCACTTGAAACTATTAATGTACTGAAGCGTTATTCTCTAAGGAAGATTTTTAGAATCATTTTATTTATTTATTTTTCATTGTATATTCAGAATCTCTATATTTTTATATTTCTCAGAACGTCACATCACTTTATACGAATATGAAAATAATGGATAATATATAATAAAATAGTGGATGATATAATAGTGGATAAGCAACATTTTGTTAGGGGATGACTTTATTTTAGCAACAACTGTCTAGAGTCTAGTATTTAAAATAAAGAATCTCTAGATGACTATGAAAGAAAAGAAATTCAAAAACGCAAACTACAATCAATGGGAAAAAATCTTCCCATCTCTGAAGAAAAATGTTAAATATTTCAGATTTAATCAGGATAGCAGCTTCCCGTTAATTAAACCCGTGTTCTATTTTGTTATTAGATGCAGTGTTCTAATGACTTAAAAAAGGAAGCGGTGCAAAAGGATATTTAATTAAACATGGTATTGTGTTAAATTATCTTTCTTACTATCAGGGATAACAAATAATTAAAATGAAATCATGTGGGGTGAAAAGAAATGTTGATAAATGTTTGAAAACAAAACAGAGGAAATCATCTGCGTTAAGGATTCAGTTTAATGAGTTTTGTTTCTGGCAGAATATTCTCATAAGCAGGACAAACAAAAACAAACATGAACCCTCTTTTTAAAAATGAGCTTTTTTCTCTCTCTTGTTTAAAAACCAACTATCTCCCCAGAGCGGGATTAACCATAAGAGGACCTTAAGCGACTTCCCAAGGCCCATTAGTTAGACAGAGACCTTGGTTTCATGAATGTGCTTTGCCCCATTTTTATCCCTATATAAAGAGAGAAGGATGTAAGGATTTAATTTATTGCACTTGTGCATTGGGCTTAAAACAAATAAATTGTGATTTGTCAGAATTTTGGTTATTTTGCGATTTGTCTGAATTCCCCAATTCCAGAACGCTATATGTACATATTATGAAACAAATAAATCTGGCAATGGAGAAGTCTCTGCCCACACTTGTGACCATTTAAAAAAAAAAAAAAGAGCCCTCACCTGCGTGCTAAAGGATTTAGGGGCTAATAAAAGAATAAGGGGGACATGCAGTAGTTAGAATTATTGGTCTCCCCTTATTTTTATTAGTGTGCATGGGTAGATAAGGCATTTATGTATTTGGGAGTAGTAAGGGGCTTGGGATCTCTAGTTACCATGAGGAGGGAGAAAGGGGCCAGATAAGAGCATGTCCATTTCTCCTTATGTTACCCTCACCCAAAGCCCATGGAATGTACACCAACCTTCTTTATTTTTTATTTAGCACCTACCTCCCACCTATGGGTGGGTGGCTGATGGGAACAATTGGATGTTCCTTTCTTATTCTTTTATGAGCCCACATCCACTGCCCATGGGGTGGACAGTGGGAATTTTACCAAGTTTTTGCCATGCACATGTCTACAATTAATATAGCTACCTGGACGTAAACTTGTCATCCTTGTGATATATAAGATAAGCAAAGGAGCAATAACAAATCTAAGACAAAGCTAAAAATATCTGGACCAATGGAGGTTCGTCTCTTCCAGCTGTGTATAGTATTAGTAACGGCGAAGAGGTTGAGAATCTTTAGAGGCTGTAGCTAAGCTCGTTGGCATTGCTAGTGTTCCACAAAAAATATCTGTATAACAATGGCACATTAGATATATTCCAACATAGAATAGGGCATTGATGGTAGTGCCTTTAAATAAGATAGGATTAGGGGTAGAAATTGACAAACCCAATATTTTTACCAAATTTCATGCTACCACACTAGTAAAGAAAGCCATCCGTCTCATTTATATTCAGTTCTTTAACCAGTTAAAGACAATAAAACCGTGTACAAAACACATCAGACAGGATAAGCAAACTAAAAAATAATGCACACAAGCAACACCAAGGTGATGTATAACAAAGCAACATAGACATTAAGAAGGATAAACTGGTCAGTAATATTCTGTGTATTTACCTGATATTGCAAAGCCGCTAAATCCCACAGCAAGGACCAGAAAAGATATTGAAATTGCTTTGGTATGGGAGTAGCCAACCACCAGTAGAAGAGTTGCCTCCATTCCAAAACCTGCACAACAAAAATTGGGATTTAATGCATTATTCGTAGTTAACATAAACAGATATCAATAAAATATATATATATATATATGTATGGACTCTGCCATAAAACATAATACAACCCGTCACTTCTCTGGAATCTACACAATTGAAAAAATATTGAAAAAAGAAAGTCAAACTAATTGAGCAAATGACATCAGATTGCAGTTCAGTTCTGGCACAGCCAGGGCACACAATGCAAATAAGAAGGGGAAATAGAACCACAGTTGGTATTCTAAGAATGTTAGAATATTAGAACGCATACAGAATATTATATATGTTCTGTATGCTTTCTCTCTGCTGACCGCAAGGTACAAAGAACAAAGTTTATAACATTGAGTGACAGGTTGCTAAAATGGAGGCACCCCGTTGCAGGATACAGTAGTGGATATTTCTACATCCTATTTTATTTTCACACATAGTGGATAAGTAAATATAATATTACAAATCCTACGAAGTGAAATTTTTATTCAACCCCTTCACTTCTGAGCATTTTCTGTTTGCAAAAATTGTAGGATATCATTTATTGGAAGCAAGGGATGCATAACTAGCATAAACATATCACAATACAACATTTTTTTTTGTGTAGATTGCTTTGCAGAGAAACATAAAAATTCTAATTGTGTAAATGTACACAATTTTTACTTTTCACTTATTTGTTCATTCTTTATAAAAATATTTGGGAAAGCATACAGTGTCCTTAATCTTGCGATATTTCACACATGCTCTGAAATGTTAGTATCAGTGGCAACTCTAGGAACAATATATAGGTAAGATACCACCGTCAAAACTGGGGTGGAGGGGGGAGGGGTTTAAAAAGTTCCACGGGGGAGGGGGATAACATGCCACAATTGGTTTTCTGCTGCCAGCATACTTTCATGCTTTCATGCATACACACATAAATTGCCCAATGCAGCTTACTAAAAATTGCATGATGCCTACATGCAGTAAATACAGTTAAAATATATATTTCTAAAATAAAGTTATTTAAAACTGCTATAGCATTTTTTTTTATCAATCCCTGGACTGATATTATAATGCTGACAATTAAAAATGTAGAGTCCATTCACTCCTACATCTTGTCTGACTGTAGGAATGATATGACCCATTGAAACTTTATGCACTGTTTTAAAACAGGGGTTACTTTTCAGCAAATACATCGGCATGATATTAGTGACTAGAGGTTACTAGCAGAGAAATGTATTCCTCTACAGGCTGGTAGTCATAACTAGAGGATAAATATGGGTGAGAGAGACTTTATGGACTATGTTTCATAATGCAAAATACATGAAAATAAAAATGTTTCTACTTGATTTGGACATTGAAGTAGATAAAGGATAATAACCATATAGATTTGTAGATGTAATTGAAATAAAAATAATGGATAAAATAATATACATTATATTATTTAAACGTTAAAATAAAATTCTGTCATGCTATGCATTACAGAAACCCTTAAACGGATGATTTAGTTATTGAAGTATTAGGAATAGAGAGCTATTTTTTGTATCTATTAATTTATCATATTGAATATCAAATAACAGTATTTAATAGGTAAATATTACAGAAAAGCAATTATTGTGACCCTTGTTTTATCTGTATTTATTTGCCCAGGTATGAATTTATTTAGTCATACATTTATTTTGCCATGACCAAATTATTTTAATTCCAGCCAGAGCCAAATCACTGGTTAAGGTATGTATATTAAATTGTAAAAAGTAGATGGGTTTAAATCCATGTATTGGCCTCACAAGTATTTTTATATCTGTATAGTGTTTGTTTAATTTAACCATAAAAACTCCCTGCAACCTGTTGAAAAAAATGTCTGCAAAGCTAAATCTTGCAGAAACCATGGTGTCCTCCTACAAAAGTACGTTCTGCATGAGATTTTCACTGTTGAATCATTCTACATCTTAACAATGGGAGTGACTCATTTCTCCCACAATTTTGTTTTAATGGATATCCTATTTACTCAGCTGTTTTCATTGCTAAGTAGAAAACGGAAATGAATCTGCATTCATGTGATATTATAACGTATGGCACTTCATTATAAATTTAACTGAAAGCTAAGGATCACTATAAAAAAAATAATAATTTTGAATCGCCTTTGAATCATCTATGATGTAATTATTCTAGTGTTCTGTTTTTCTGTTTATTTAAAAAGCTTGCATATATTTTTTTTTTTTTTACAATTACAATTATTTATATAGCACCAACATGTTCTGGAGCGCAGTACAGTAGGTGAACAAGACAAACATTTAATTCTAACTAAGCATGTATGACACATGGGAACAGCGGGTGAAGAGGGCCTTGCCCAACAGAGCTTACAATCTAAATGACATGTCGGTACTGTTTATATATAATATTTTATTTGAAATTACGTTATCTTGTTTTCTTTATTAATTTGTCTATATTTGATAAAAAAAACATCAAATAAATAATATTTCTTCTTGATTTGAAAATCATAGGAAAAGTTGTCATTGTTCTTAAATTTACATCAATAAATAAAACATTGAAGTTCACCTATAATGTGTGAGACCTTTTATTTATTAAATGCTCTGTAGCAAATTATATCACAACCAAGTTCAGACAAGGCATATCCCAGACAAGCATGGCAAATGAGGAGAAATGGATGCATTGTTTCATTTGTCATGGTTTCTCTATGATGACTGCCAGGTGCAGTGGACAGATCTAAAAACAATACAGTTAAAGGAACAGCACACACACAAACAAAAATACAGCTTTACATTTAACAAGGCTGCTTAAAATCACCTATCTTAGCAAATAAATATGGGGATTCGGTTCCAACATATGGCCATATTGTGTTAAGCCAACCACTATGTCACAGGGATAACTCCACTGGCCACTCCTCAGATGGCTACTAGAGGTTCTTCTTGGGGCTGTGCTGCACACTGACACAGTTCACAGACACTGGACTTTCCTCATAGTGATGCATTGATTCAATTCATCTCTATGAGGAGAGGCTGATTGGCCAGGGGCGTGTGTTTGGCCCCTAATCTGCTTATTCGCAGTCTCAGTCAATCCTATGGGGAAGCATTGTGATTGGCCCAAAACAACACTTCTGATGATGGCAGCCAAGCAGGCAGATCAGGGCTAGAGCCAGCAGCTGCAGACTTGAACAAAAGTAATATTTACTATATTTAGGGGGCAAGGGAGGGCCAGGGAAGGCAGGAATACATGTTTGTTTTCCTGACCCTATAGTGTTCCTTTAAATAGTTTCAATAATAAAATGGTATTACCTCCACAGTTCATGATTTTCCGTACATTTGTTGTTGATAATATCTTCCTGCTCCTTAATAAATCAGCCAGTTGCCCTCCGATAGGAACTATAATTGTCATCACCATATGTGGAACTGCAGACAGTAAACCCACCTAGACACAGAACACATCAAATTAATGATAAAGGGAGTACCGTAAGTTAAATTGCCTTACAACAAAATAATAGGTCAACGTTAGTAACAATGCATCGATGGACCCAGCCGTCTGTTCACTAGCTAAACTACATAAATAAAAGCAAACTAATTTATACACTAAACATTCAATTGTACTGAATCGAAAACCTAGTGCAAAATCAGGCAATAGTTGGTGAAAGAGTCAGATGTAGTGACGACAACATAAAAAACATAGACAAATTTAAATTTTTTGAGTATGCTCAAAACTAAATTGTGACAGATCTAGTTTAATCTTTATTTTATTAACTATTGTACTGTTTTACAAACATACCTTGCTTATAGGAAATCCAAAGACTTCTTCAAAGTAAGCAGGCTGACTTATCAATAACAAGTAGAAGGTCCAACTTCTGCAGAAATTGGCTACTATGATTGCATAGACTGGCATCGATGTGAAGAATTTCTTCCAGGGGGTTTTAAATTTCTACAAATTCACCAAAGAGAAGAAGAAGACACACTGACTGTTGTTAAACAAAGACATATACATAAAAATGATGCACACACTTTTAAAGTGTGAAAAGTCACATACACTACAAACATTTTATAAAAATATTTAAATAAATATTTATAAATATAATGTTTTTGATGCAATGTGAAAACTAATAACTATCAGGGCAGACATAACAAAAAATTAATTTTATCTTTAAAAAAAAAAATGTTTCGGGGGGCGTGGCCGACCGCCGAGCAACCTGGCAGCCTAGGAAATTGCTCCGGCACCCGGGCTCCAGCAATCCGACATCGTCTCCCAGGGCTCAGAAAACCCTCATCACACCCGAGATGGCGAACCCCAAGGGGAAAAAGAGCACACAGAAGGCGGAAAAACTAAATTTCTTCAACAACAAAGCCGCGGGCGGCACTGAAACCGACCGCGGCACAATCCAAGATGGCGCCGACGAACAAACGGCGGGAAACATCTCACTCACGGGCGCACATCAAGACAGCCAGGACAACCTCACTAAGGCACACCTGGATGCAGCGATGGAAGCCATGGCCAACAAACTAGTACAAACATGGCAATCCTCCATAGGACAACTCCGCAGGGAAGTCCAGGACATAGGCCAACGAACCACACACGTGGAAAATAAGCTGAGCGAGTATGCAACAGCGCACAACGATATGGCCGACCATGTAGCGCGGCTGGAACAAAAAATCGAAACAATGGAGGCGCGTATGGCTGATGCTGAGGACCGCTCGCGGAGAAACAACCTCCGGCTACGAGGAGTCCCGGAGAGCATCATGCCTAATGATCTACCAGCCTATGTGCAAGGCCTTCTGAGGGCATACGCTCCGGACATCCCCACGGATATGTTCCTAATAGACCGGGTACACAGGGTGCCCAAACCACGCAATCTGCCTGGCAATATCCCTCGCGACGTCCTACTAAGGGCACACTACTACCACATAAAAGAGGCAGTATTGCGCGCCAGCAGAATCCGCTCAGAACCACATGAAAACTACGCCACGATCAAGATCCTAGCAGACCTGTCCGCGGCGACTCTCAAGCGCAGGAGGGATTTCCAACCGGTGACAGAAGAATTGCGACGTGCAGGAATAAGGTACCGTTGGGGATACCCCACCAAACTCCTAATTACCAAAAGCGGCGAGATCAACATGGCCTCCACGCCGGAAGAAGGCACCCGACTATTGAGAGACTGGGGGCTCCTTACTAACCCCCCCCCCACAACTCAAGCAAGCCCAGCGAGACGTCTGACACCAGAATGGCGCCAGGTCCCAACACGGAACAAATCGCCATGATCCACCTGAGGAACTAGGCCGTCCAGGCCATAACCAGGGACACGTGAGATATTAATATGTACTGCTAACTGTTCTCACAAGTTTAGTTTAAGTTTTTCCTTTTCATGCGATTGTACTGCTAATTGTTATCACAAGTTTAGTTTAAGTTTTTCTTTTTTCATGTGATCAACTGCTTTGATTAGCATTTTATTCACTTACCACACAATCATACCACACTATGCATGGTTTGTTGGATGTGGGCGGGTGGGATGCCCACATGGGTGATAACCAGGGCAAACTTTGGGCAACAAGGAAGGGCGGCATGGTATAGGCAAAGAAAAGACCAGTAGTTGGAGGTGATCCTAATACCTCACTATTATTTACAAGGTTGAGGATATGCATACATAAGACAGGAACTCCAAGAATGTACAAAGGTGCACAACGATTATGTAATTTACCGGGACATTGTCCATAGAGAGAAAATTGTACATGACACCATATAAACCACTATTGTTTTACGAGTAGGTCAAACCCACTACAACCGCACCGCCCCGCCCAACTACGTAGCCTGGCTCATCACATCCAAAAGTTACGATGGGAGAACCACACCCCATCATAAAGAACGACACAACAAGTGGGAAAACCACGATAGGCACCAAGCGGTGACCTGCACACCGCCCCACAAAACCTTCCCTTGGGTCCGATTTGATTCTCCCACCCATGCCCACAGGCCAGCACTGAGAATGCCATGCACAATACCTAGGTCGCTATTGACTTATAGCTCTGAGGAGAGACAGCAACTATGTACACAAGGGAGCCCAACGGCCACAATACCAGAGACGCTGTTTCAGCGCTCCTCCCCCATGGCACGATGCCACTGTGCCAAGACCCACGTTTGGGTCATACTGTATATACTTTGGTTTCTTTTACCCCTTTCCTCTGTCATTCCCGAACCTCCCACCCCCGGGCGCAACAACGTATTCGCACAGGCGCCGTCTAAGCGGTGCACCATACGAACCCTGCAACATCTGCAAATCCATATAGGCATAGCAGAACTGCAAACGAGCACCCTTTATCACCCACCCATCACATGAAAATATATTCACACAATTGCAGGGGACTAAACACCCCACATAAAAGGCGCATGATGCTGGAGGAAGCCAAACAGACTCAGGCAGACATTATCTGTTTACAAGAGACCCATTTTGTTACATCTAGGGTGCCTAACTTTGGAGCACAACATTACCCTCACCAATATCACGCAACTCACTCCTCCAAATCGAGAGGGGCCTCAATCCTTCTCCATTCCTCCTTAACAGTTGAAGCCCTAAACCTAATCAAAGACAAACAAGGAAGATTTGTAATGCTACATTGCCTCCTAACTAACCTGCCATATATTATAGTCAGCTTCTATGCTCCCAATGTACACCAACGCGCCTTCCTACGTAAGGTGCTCTCTGCACTCCCACCTAACCAGACTGCCCCACTTATATTATGTGGAGATCTTAACCACCCTCTTGACCCACACATGGACACCACACTAAACACCACGACACCGAGGCACAAAGCACTCAAAGCACAAAGTAAAGCAATCAATACACTGCTAGGGGAATATGGCCTATACGACCCTTGGAGAGCCTTCCATCCTAATGAGAAAACGTTCACGTTCTTTTCAGCAGTGCATAAATCATATTCACGGATAGACTTCATTTTCATAACAGGTACATTGCTTACCAGAGTAACAAATAGCGAAATCGGGGACATAACATGGTCAGACCATGCCCCGACCACAATAGAGCTGACTGAGGAATACCAACATAGGGGACGGCCACCGTGGCGGCTCAATGATTCCCTTCTAGGTGACCAGACATTCACTACAACATTAACAGAAGCCCTGACATCATATTTCCAAACTAATGATACGCCGGATGTCCATCCGACCACTGTGTGGCAAGCCCATAAAGCGGTCATCAGAGGACTCCTCATCAGCAGAGCCTCCTTTTTAAAAAAGAAAGCACAACAAGAACACCTACACCTGCTGCGCACTTTAAGAGACGCAACAGCGGCAAACATAGTAGACCCATCACCACAACTAGCACAGACGATCCATGATACTACGACGAGTATCAACAACATGGCAATCTCTAAAACAGCACACATTTTACATAAGCTGAAACAAAAAACCTACTCACAAGGAAACAAAGCAGGCAGGAATCTAGCGACTTTACTACGCCAAAAACAATCCAATGCAAAAATCCCCTATCTGCTCACCTCCCAAGGCTCTAAAATCCACAACCCACAAGATATTAATGATACTATGGCAGACTATTACCACTCATTATACAACCTCAAAGAAGACCCCATACTACATCAACCCACATCCCAAGACATTCAAAATCTACTTGGACAGTTCTCGCTGCCAACACTGACGGAACACCAGAAAACTATCCTACAACACCCAGTCACACAAGAAGAAATACAACAAGCTATACACTCACTCCCCCATGGCAAATCACCGGGACCCGACGGACTCACAAACTCCTACTACAAGACAATGACCACAATCCTAACCCCATATCTGGACAAAACCTTTAACCATATCCTCACGACGGGCCAAGTGCCCCAAGACATGCTCATGGCACATGTGGCTACATTGCCAAAACCAGGCAAACCACCTAACAAATGCCAAAATCTAAGACCAATCTCCCTCCTTAATACGGACATCAAATTACTGGCAAAAATTTTCTCTAACAGATTAAAGAACATTATCCCGACCCTGGTACACGAGGACCAGGTGGGATTTGTTAGTGGTAGGCAAGGAGCGGACGGAACCCGAAAGATCTTGGACCTACTACAGGGAGGAAGCGGAGGGGGGGCCCAGTGCGTTATGCTGTCACTTGACGCTGAAAAAGCCTTCGACAGATTGCATTGGCCCTTCCTCCAAGCTGTTCTGATCAAATATGGCTTCCCAGACACTTTCTTACGGTTAGTAAAGGCATTATACTCTAAACCGACAGCGAAAGTCACCAATGGGGGCTTTAGCTCTAAACAATTCCACATAACCAACGGGTCAAGACAGGGCTGCCCACTATCGCCTCTCCTTTATATTCTCTCGCTAGAACCTCTCACGCAACTCATTAGGGACAACCCAAACATACACGGCATTACGAGACAAGGCAAAGAACACAAACTCACACTTTTCGCAGACGACATCCTCTTAACACTCGAGCAACCACACATATCCCTACCTAACTTCCACGATACGCTCACCCAATACAGCAAGTGCTCCTATTATAAACTTAATATAAATAAAACTCAAGCAATGGGCATAAATATCCCGATGGAGGTCTTGGATAGGTTGCGTATCTCTTTTAAATACGACTGGCGAAACGACCAACTAAAATTCCTAGGAATCAATCTCACCCCAAATCTAGCAAACCTTTTTAAAATAAACTATCAAAAAACACTGACTGAAATAAAAAACCTACTACTAGGATGGAAGAGTAAATTCGTATCTTGGTCAGGGAGAATTGCCGCAATTAAAATGATCATTGTACCTAAATTGCAATACTTGTTTAGAACGTTACCCATAAAGATACCCCCCACATTCATACGAGATGCTCAACAAACACTACTAACCTTTATATGGGACAG